AGGAAACACTTCCCAGGGTCCCAGACCAGTGAGCTGGCTGCCTCTCACCCCGTCCCTGTCCTTATTCAATGTTTTCAATTTGACTGCTCCTTTTCCTCCAGCCTTACCTCCCCAGACCTATCCCAGCGCTGCCCCAACTCCAGCCCTTCTGGCTCTGTCCAAAGCTCTGTAGCACAAGGGCTTCAGGTGGACATACGTTTCAGGGACCTAGTTACACACATAGGCAGGAGCACACCCAAGGCATCTTTCAAACATCTGATGCCATGAAAAGCACTTGTCCCATGCCCAGCACCCAGCGGTGAGTGGGAGATGGAGGTGAGATGTTGCACCCCATCCAGCACTGGTGGTGTGGCCTGCCAGGCCCCTTGATGTCATCTCCCCAACTCCCAGAGGGACACCTCAGTCACACAGGCTGGCTGACATGTCACACAGGCTCTGACATGTCCACATGCTGTGTACACATGGTCAGACATGTGTCTGGGGACACAGAGATACACAAACGCAGCACACTTGGATGCTCATGTGTCTCTGCTAACAGCCCTGACCCATGTGGATCCAGGATATGTTCAAGAGGTGGTCCCAGAAACCCTAGGTTGCCTGGGGGCCACAGCACTGTTGTCTCAAGTGCTGAGTGCTGGTAGAGGCCCTGGCAGGCGTGTATCCTGAACTCCAGGAAGCACAGCAGGCGGTCAAGGGCAGGGTTATGATGCAGTCACAAAGCCCCCAGGAGAAAGAAGTCACCATCACAAAGCTGGCTTCTCCTATACCAAGATGTCCTAGATACTGTCATTGAGACCCAGACATGCACAGACACAGACAAAACCCGACTCCTGATCTAAGGCAGAGGCATGAGAACATGGGTGACACAAGAGGATGGGTACACAGATGGGACCTGGATCCCTTCTCACTCACCCCTACCTCCTGAGCTGGTGTCATAGCCATCCTGAGTCAAACGGCAGACTTGAGTCCCCTCCAGCCACCCTGGTTGGAGGACACTGGCTGTCTCCACTGCCGGCCCTGCAAGCCCTTTCCCTCGGGCTGGCCAATTTCTCTTGCCCTGAAGGTACCACTCCCTAATACGGGCATTGAGGAGGAGAGCTGCCCATGGGACAGGTGATCCAGGAAATGCTGCCTGGAGCACTGACCAGAAGTGCACTGGGCAGTGGATGGGGCAGCACAGGGCAGCTGTCCACCTCTCCCATACACATGACAATTGTTTGCTGCAGGACAAAGGCATCTGGACCAGGGAAGGAGAAGGCAGAGAAGGGTAATACCAAGGACTCCAAGGTGTGGCAGGGCCTGGGGGCTCTGGAGACTTAGAGAAGACATGGAGGAGGCCAGAAGGGTGAAGGTTGTGGGCTCCTTGTGATAGCTGGAGCTGTGTGTCAACTTGGCTGGACCCCAGTTCTGTGTGGTTGTTCCCATGATGGGATCAGATGACTGAGTTCTGAGTGGCCAGTCTGCCCAAGGGGAGTTTCCCTAGGGGTGTGGCCTGCTTGCAATGATATCCAAGGACAATCTGGAAG